AAATGGTAAAGGTGGTATAAAGATTACCACCGTAACCTTCTTGGAAGGAACTAGTTGCATCTCTGGATGAAAGGTTCAATGAGCCATTGGACTTTAACCACACAGGTAAACTAGCAAAGCTCACTCAAATATTCAATCATTGAGTACCAAGAGCAGTTCTGACAAACTTGCAGCCGAGTTATAGGATTAATCGAAGATTTTCTAGCGGGGTTTTATACGACTGGACTAAAACCTGAGATTGAGAAACTCCAACCTACCACCTTGGGTTGGGCTTTTTAGATTGGCCCAACTTGAAGAAGAAGATATCAATTTTTGAAGGCGAGCTTTGTGCCAAGAGTTTTAGTGGCCACGACCCCAACCCCATCCTGTTCAGCCGACAAGGAAGTCATTGCCCGAGATCCGTCATTTTCCTCCATCTCAAGTTGGAGAAAGACGAGAAAAGGGGTTGTGCTATTACTATGATGAAAAGCATGTCCCTGGGCACCGTTGTAAGGCCACAAAGCTATACTTGGTAAACACAACTATGGAGGAGGAAGAAGGAGGCAATATGGATGAACTCACTAAGGATAATGAAGAGACTCTAGAGATCTCAGTCCAAGTAGTTGTTGGTTTCAATTTGCCTCAACTGATGAGAGTGAGCCAGATTGTTAATTTCAACAGAAGCCCAGTTTAGTGTGATGGTGGCAAATGGGGAGTATCTACAAGGTAAGAGAAAGTGTAAATAGGCACCTATTCGAACCCAGGGTTTTACCTTAGTAGTTGATTTCTACTTATTAGCTTTGCATGGGTATGACGCCATTTTGGGTACCCATTGGTTGAGAACAGTCGACCTGATGAAATGGGACTTTGCATCCATGACACTTTGCTGCATAGACAAGGATATAACTATGAATGGAAACAGGGGTAGGGTACCCGTGCAAATTGCCCTACCCATTCTCAAACCCGCCTTGGTACCCTTGATTCCAAACCTGTTTAACTTTTCCTCTAAATTTCTTGAACCCGTTAAATCCATTCCGACCCGTCCCCCTGATTATCATATGATCAAGTTAAACTTTTCTTCAAGTTGAATATTAAGTATATAAAAAAGCTCTTCAAAGTTCATTATCAACCAATAACAATCAACAAGAACCAAATTTACATAGAATGCTTCCATATAAAAGAACCAAACAAAATAATATAAATAAAAAATAAAAAAAAAACTAAGTGACATAAGAGAATTGTTATTACAATAACTCTTGCATTCTTCTAATCATCCACTCGAACATCATCCTCAACTAAAGAGATACACATTGAGTCAGTTGTTGAATAAGAGAATTGTTATTACAATAACTCTTGCATTCTTCTAATCATCCACTGGAACATCATCCTCAACTAAAGAGATACACATTGAGTCAGTTGTTGAAGAAAAGCCTACATATATAGATATTTTACAGTAAGATTATCATTTCAAACTGAGTTTGAATTTGAATTTTGACAAATAGATATCATTTGCAATCTTAGTTACAACAATAAAATTTTATAAATAAATATAAATTTTTAAAAATAATTAGCAAGTATCTCACCTAAAAATAGTGCTCGGATTGGACTTGAATTTACCTAGACCAATTAAGTCTCAATCTAAATTCAAACAAATAGATAGAATTTGCAATCCTAAATCCTAATAACATTAATTTAAAGTCCATTTGAATTTATAAATAGTTACATCAATAATTTTTTTAAATTAATTAATAAAAATTAAAATTCATAGGCAAATATTTCACATAGAAATATTGCTTGGGTTGGACTTAATCTTACTCAAACCAATTGATTCTTAATTTGAATTTAGACAAACAGATACCATTTGTATTTTGCAATATTGAATCCTAATTATATTAATTTAAAATCAATTTAAATTTAATAATAATCATGCCAATAAAATTTAAAAATTAACTAATAAAAAATTAAACTTCATAAACAAGCAACTCACCCAAAAGTATTGTTGGACTGAACTTGAACCTAACCAAATGTCCCAAACTTGTAAATTGACCAATTAGGAATGTCATAGGCAATGCGGCTCCTTCGTCCTAGCTTCTACTTACTAAATTTATCTTAATGTATTATATATTATAAACTATTTTATACTATATATTATATTACATTATATTATATCATACCACATATATATATATATATATATATATATATATATATATATAACTAGGTTTTATAATTGGGTATCGGGAATGGGTACTTGCGTCAGATAAAACTAGGTATTAGGTATTGGGTACCCTAAAGTCAAAACCCAAACCCGTCCCAATCCTTATAGGGTTTTAATAAATGGGTACTATTAGGGTTGGTATGGGTTGAATACCCAAAAATTCTCGTAAAATTGCCATCCGTAGAAAGAACTCATATGTTGGTAGGGAAACAACCTATGTTTCCTCGTACCACCAGAGGGGAAGAGATGGCTAAGGCATTACTGATTACTAAATGTAGCCTACATCTCTCTACATAGAGAAGAGATAGCTAAGAGTCAAGATGTCCAGAGTGTGTTGGATGAATTCCAAGAGTTTTTCAGTGAATCCATGGGGCTTCCTCCAATCAAAACATTTGACCACAACATTCATCTTCTTCCCAAAGCCAAACCAGTCAGCCTAAGGCCTTATAGATGCCCTTACGTCCAAAATAATGGGACCAAGAGGATTATAGCAGAGATAATGGAGTCAGGGATCATTAGGCCGAGCACCATCCCCTTTTCATCGCAAGTCTTGCCAGTGAAGAAAAAGGACAAAAGCTAGAGGTTGTGTGTGGATTACCAATCACTGAATGAAGTTGCAGTGAAAGATATATTTCCTATCCAGTCATCGATGAATTGCTAGACGAACTCCATGGGGTGAGGGTCTTCTCTTAGCTGGATTTGCGTTCGAGGTATCATCAGGTACACATCAAAAGCAGAAGATTTACCCAAGACATCATTTAGGACACACGAGGGGCACTATGAATTCCTCATGATGCCCTTTGGGCTCTCAAATGCTCTATCAACGTTCCAGGCCCTTATGAACTCAATATTCAAATCTAGTTTGTAGAGGTACGTATTGGTTTTTTTATGATATATTGATATATAGTAAATCGATGAGTGAGATCACTTGCAACACCTTTAGAGAGACCCTGAGCACCTTTAAAATGCACTCACTGTTTTCCAAGGCCAGTAAGTACAAATTTTCCATCCCACGATTCGACTATCAGGGCCATATAGTTTCATCTGAAGGAGGAGTTCACATCTCTGCCCCACAACACCCCACAACACATCCCCGCCATGTATTGGGAATATCTCCCGATGATGAAATCATCGGGATTGGTACTATCATCGGGAGATGTTTCCAATACACGACGGGGATGTGATGTGAGGCGTTGTGGGGCGGAGATGTGATCTCCTAAAGGAGTGGAGGTTGATTCAGAGAAAATATCTAGTATAACCCAATGGATGACACCTAAAAACATAAAAGGGCTTCAGGGGTTCTTGGGATTAATAGGGCACTACAAGAAGTTTGTTCGGGACTATAGTGCTATTGCTCGACCTCTTACTCTGCCTGTGATATCGATGTAGCTCAGGCTTAGCTAGACAACATCTTTAAACTACATGGAATCTCGATTGCCATTGTTAGCGACAAAGACCCTGTTTTTACTAGTTTTTTTTTGGCAATAGCCATTTCAACTATAAGGAACCACCCTAAGCTTGAGCTCCTTTTACCATCCCCAATTGGATGGACAAATAGAAGTGTTGAACAAGACCTTGGAGACCTACCTGCGATGCTTCACCAGCATCCACCCTAGCCCATGGTTCAAATGACTACCATTACTTGAATGATGGTATAACATCACTCACCATTAATTGGTCATCAATACCACTCCTTATGAACCTGTCTATGGTGTTTCCCCACCAACATTGCTCAGCCTAACACCTTGAAACAAGAACTCTGAGAAACAAGACCAAGTAAAGGAATGGATTAAGAAGCACTTGCACTCAACCTAACACTGGATGAAGAGGTGTGCAGACTCCAAGAGGACAAAATGGGTCTTTGAAGTTGGAGATTGGATCCTTCTTTGCCTTAAGGAACTAAGCTCTACAACAGCAAATGGTCAATAGGGAAGAACAACAAAACTACGACAGAGAAGTGTGAAAGGAAAGATGAAAGTGAAATCACAAATACAATCTCCAAATTTTATCACAAAATGGCAAAGTAAGAGGCCAAGACATAGTATTGCAAGAGAAAAAAAAAATTAAATAATGATGCCAGGACAAACTTCTTTTATGCTGGGAATCCATTTAGGGGGCATTCTTTTTCTAGATTTTGAGAGGGGAGAAAGTTGGTCAATGAAATTTTGATTCCCATTGATAAAAAATTCTATGTTCTTTTTTCATAATTAAGTGGGGACCAGGGAAAGTTTATTTACCTAGGTATAACTTATTCCTACGTGGGTAAATAACTTTCCCACCTTAGGGGAAAGTTGTCAACACTTAAATGGGACAAAAATACCCCTTATAATAATATATTTTTATGGCTAAAATGGTCATTGTCTTATTTACATGGAAAATAAAAGAACATGGGTAAATGTACATTTAACTCATATAAATAACTTACCAAAAAAGCGAGGCATTAATATTAGGCCGTATTTGGTTCGAAGGAAAAAAGTAGAGAAAGGGGAACCTTTTCCAGTTTTCCTTCAAACTAAATATAGTTAGAGAAATAGGAAAAACGCAAGGAGTTGCACAAGAGGATGTCCTCAAAGATGGAAAGAAAATGCGAACTCACTCTTTTACCCCACACCTCGTTACGACACGGAAGCCACGAAACCATATCCTTGTTTTTTCGCAAGTGGCTAGGCCCCGGCCAATTATGGCATGTCCGTGGCTCTACTATGATTTTTTTACCAATATGTCCCTAGTCTAATGTCCATTTCATGGATGCAATGACGAAAAGGCCCCTGGATGTGGCAGTATTCGAGTTTCTGGCCTTCTGTAGCATTTTTTGTTTGTCTGCAGAGGATGGGGGAGCTGCTCTGGTCGAATGTTAAACAGAGGTTTCGGTTGGTTTGAGGGATTCAAGGTATCGGGTATGGAAGTAAAATTAATCCTAGCGGTGGTTTTGCTGGTCGCTGCAACTGCAACTGCCGATTATGTTCGACCGGCGCCTCGAGAAAACTTACAATTCTTATGGAAGCCGAGGGCTGCTTCTTATCCCCAACAGGTTCGAAATGAAGATGGGTATCTCTTCTTTTTCTTTCTATGTTTTTTTTTTTTTTTATAATTATCAACCTTGTTCAAATCTACTCCAAGATTTTGTCAACTGGTTATCTCTTCTTCCTCCCGCTGCTTTGTTGCTGTCGGATCTAAACCTATAGCGTTGAAACGCCTTCTTGTTTGTTTAGTTTACTTTCTTTTGAGGAAAGTACAATCATTTCTTTTTTGATAATCAGACTTCTTCCCTGAAATATTGATAATCATGTGTAGATTATTTGCTACTATCTGATTATTAGTAGTTGTGGTCAGGCTAGCTGATTTCTCTCGAGACAATTACGTATCTACGGTTGTCTTTGGATGGTTATTTAGTTTAGTTCGAACAACATAAAAAATGGAGGGTTTTATTATGTATGGATGTATAATTTCCTGGTTGGTGGTTATTGCTTGTGAGACAAATCACGGTCGATACCTGCTCATGACCTAATAATGACTTATGTTCAAGAGATCCATTTGGTTTTTTAGTGTCTTACACGCCCATCTATATGCCAGAGCAACCAAAGTGATGAGAAACTCTCAGTCCATATCTGAGTGCCTTAGCCATCATCATATCTATAACAAAGTCCCAATTTCATAAGATATCAAAGCACTCAAAACCGTGAAATTGTGGAAAGTGGAAACAGTGTCTTTGAGGGAGTTTATTTAGTTGCCTTCTTTACCTGTAAGGGTTATGCCTATGTTGATAGTCTACTTCTGTTGGTTCTTAGTTTCATCTGCTTCAGTTGACAGTCTTCATGGTTTGCTTCATTTGACAAACGGAAACATATGGGTATTGCAGGTTCACATATCTTTGGCTGGAGATAAGCACATGCGGATTACATGGATTACTGATGATGCATCTTCTCCTTCAATTGTTGAATATGGAACATCATCTGGAGAATACATATATGTAGCTCAAGGAGAAAGCACATCCTATAGTTATTTGTTCTATAGCTCAGGAAAGATACACCACACTGTTATTGGACCACTAGAAGATAGTACTGTTTACTTTTACCGCTGTGGAGGACAAGGTCCTGAGTTCAAGCTCAAGACCCCTCCATCTCAATTCCCTATTACCTTTTCTGTGGCTGGAGATCTTGGTCAGACAGGGTGGACTACTTCAACCCTAGACCATATAAACCAGTGCATATATGACATTCATTTGCTTCCTGGAGACCTCTCTTATGCTGATTATCGACAGCATTTGTGGGACACATTTGGTGAGCTGGTACAGCCACTATCCAGTGCTAGGCCATGGATGGTAACTGAAGGAAATCATGAAAAGGAGAGTATACCATTATTCATAGAGGGGTTCACATCCTATAATGCCAGATGGAAGATGCCCTTCAAGGAAAGTGGATCAAGTTCAAATCTGTATTATTCTTTTGAAGTAGCAGGAGTTCATGTTATCATGCTTGGATCTTATGCAGATTATGATGAGTACTCAGATCAATATATCTGGCTGAAGGTTAGTTTATATGAATTCCAAATTTTGATGTACTTCCAATCCATTCTCTCTATAGCAGAGATCATTTATTTTTATTTTTATGGGTAAATAAAAATTTTATTTGTAAACATCATTCATAAAAAAAATTTATTTGTAAACATGGACAAATATAAGGTTAAATAGATCAGAACACAGAAGCCTTTTTAAAGAAGTATATAGAAGTTCTGCAAAGTAGAAAGAATAGAGAAAATAATGCTCCATAAAAATGAAATCTAACTCTTGAGTGATTTTCCTTAATTCCAGAGAATATAAGGGGAAGTTCAGCTTGAATGAACTGAACTGATGCTTGATGGATATAATTTTTTTTTTCTTTTCTTATTTTAATATTCCTAGTGTTTTTTTGGAGTAATTAAGGACTGCATTTTTTAAGATAAGGGGAGGTTCAGCTTCTTGTTATAAAATTAGTTTACAATTTTGCAAACCATTTTTTATTAAGAGTATTTCCTGTTTTGCTTTGGCTAGACTGATCTTTTAAAAGTAGACCGACAAAGGACACCTTGGCTTCTAGTGTCATTTCATGTGCCATGGTATAACAGTAACAAGGCTCATCAAGGTGAAGGGGATGACATGAAGGCTTCAATGGAGAAGTTGCTATATGCTGCTGGTGTGGATATTGTGCTTGCTGGACATGTCCATGCTTATGAACGCTCAGTAAGCCATACCCATTTACCCTCTGTAGTTTTTGCTTTAACTTGGACCCCTGGGCTTAGTCTAATTTGGTGGTTTGAATGGCAGAAACGTGTCTATGGTGGGAAGCCAGATTCTTGTGGAGCTGTCCACATAACTATTGGTGATGGAGGCAACAGAGAAGGTCTAGCTCAAAGGTTATTTCTTTACCTGTCCTATTTGTTTAGATTCACCTTTCCTTGTTCAGATTTCAATATTGTATATTAGCAGCCCCTGTTCTCCCACTAATTATGTGGTACTAGACAAACATACATATATTGTTTTCCAAGATATAGCAAGGGCACACTTAGTATTGGAGACCAAGAGATAACGATGTAACATCAGAGGTTGAGGAGGATGCCAACCATAGAATTAGAGCAGGATAGGCAAAATGGAGGGGTGTTTCCAGTGTCTTATATGGTATGCAAATACCACTTAATCTATAAGGAAAATTCTATGAAACAGTTGTAAGGCTAGCTGTGTTGTATGAAACAGAGTGTTGGGCAATTAAGAAACAGAGAAACAGTATGCCCAAAAGTTTAGTGTGAAGAAATACAAATCTAGATTAATGATTGCTAAAACTAGAAAAGATAGGGTTAGAAGTGACGTCATATGAAGGAACCTAGGAGTAGCTCCAATAGGTGATAAAATGAGAGAAAGTAGATTGAGATGGTTTGGTTACGTGCATAAAAGACCATCTCCAGTACCTGTTAGAAAAAGTGATCCGTTACAAGTTGAAGGCGCCAGAAGAGTTAAAGGCAGACTGAAAAGGAGCTGGGTGGAAGTAATAAGAAATGATTTAAGTGCCCATAATTTAATGATGGATATGGCACTGAATAGAACAGAATGGCAAAACAGGATTTCTGTGGCCGACCCCATATGGTTGGGACAAATCTCAGGTGATAATGATGATGATAAGCAAGGAATATACAGGCTGTCATGCATATTGTTTTTGTGGACAATACTTCATTCATCTGCTGGTTACATTCCTCAGATATGTTGACCCATCCTTCTAGTGTGCTCTTAAAAAGCCGGTAATCTAAAAAGAATATCAGTATTTCAATATATGTCCCCTGTGCAGCATTTACTTGGATTAAGAAAATATATTGGGGGTGCTTTTGTTTGGTTATTGGAAAATACCATGTATTTCTTTCAAACTTTCACTTGCTAAATCTTTATGCAATTCTATCATCAATCTCTGGGAGTTTTTAACGCAATTATCAAACTTGTTAGTAAAAGACATTTCTGAGCATGTTTTCATCTCCACTTCCAGCTTGTTTTTTTTTTTTCTCAATTGTTTGGAAATGGGTTGACAGATATTATAAGCCAGCACCGGAATGGTCTGTGTTCCGTGAAGCAAGCTTTGGTCACGGTGAGCTGAGGATTGTAAATTCAACCCATGCATTTTGGAGTTGGCACAGGAATGATGATGATGAAGCAGTAAGATCAGATCATGTCTGGATAACATCACTGGTCAGTTCAGGCTGTCTCAATGAGAAGATCCATGGATTCAGGAAGATCCTCATGGAGCCATAGATTTGAGAAATGCCTACATTTTCCTTTTTGATATAAATATCCTGGAATGTAATCCCAACTGTAAATATAATCATACCCGTTTACCAGTCTAGTGCAGAGGTATTCTGGTTGAACCATACTGTAAACAAGCAGTTTTAAATGCTGATCAACCTAGTTCCTATCAAGTATTACTTCATTCTAAGGCATGGATTCCTTGAACAAAGCTCCTTTTTTTAATGAGTTTGAACAAAGTTGTTTATAGCCTTCTTTGCTTTTCAGAATCTGCTATCAATGGATGATTGAGGGGCCCTTTGACAACTGCTGAAGTTGCCCCAATTGACTTTTCTGCTTTGCCTCTTAGTGAATAAAATAACTAAACAATAAAATATTCAAGGATGTAATAATCTATTGAAATTCAGCTTCAGCTATTAGCCTATTAGGGGGCGCCCACAACCTCCTCAAAAACTTTTCTGGGTAGTTATAGTTTTACGATCATCAAATAGGGGAAAAAAAGGATCCGTTCATCAGCGTTCAGTCAATATCAAGCTTCACAAGGCCTTCAATCTCTTCCTCCGGTTGATCATCTCAAATAACTTTACGAATGCAAACTCATGAAGTATGATGACTAAAGATTTGAAGTTCGTTTTTAAAATAAAGGGTAAAAGACTTGGAACCTCCCTTAATGTTTATAATAAATACTAAAACCTCCCCTCATTTTTTGCCAAGACTAATACCTCCCTTATTAGGTGAGTTTATCAGAAAAAAGACCTCTCCTCTCGTGGCATTCCACGCAGATCCGTTTGACAAAGCCACGCCAGAGACCGAAGGACACAAAGGAAGCCTGACCAGGAATACTATATATATATATTGGTAATAGCCAGAGTACTACTACAGTATCATGATTATCATTACCAGAAAACAAGACAAAATACATGTATACAACTAGGAGGGCTTCCTCCATACAGCAATTACATCACATAGATCATAACTATTAGCTGCAGTATTCGTAGTATTCCCTATTCAGAAAAGCTTCCTCCAGAACCAAACGGACTACAGTTGAAGGATCAAGCTTCCTTGCATAAAAAACAACCTGATCATCATCCTCATATTTCTTCCCCTTGCTTCTGTTCTCATTGTGTTCAAGACCAAATCGTTCAACTTTTTGAGAAATCTGTTATATCCCTTGACTAGATTGAAGGATTCAGATGATTTACAGATCAGTTATTCAGTGTTTGAAGGGTGAAGACAATTTCTCGTGTTTTCATTTTAATTTGATTAAAAATCATTAACCTAACATTTTGCCTGTAAGGATATAATTGTCCTTTTAATTCATCCGTCACTCATAATGACTAATATATATAAGAAGGGAGGTCTTAGTCCTCCTCTTTAAAAAGAGAGGGGGGTTTTAGTATTTGTGAAAAATATCAAGGGAAGTTTTAAGTTTTTTTACCCTTGATCGGCACAGTCCTAACCTCACTTTGCATTTACACATGACCAAATACTTGCCTCCATTAAGAGCGCTATCCTTAGATATCGATCTTCCCAAATATGGAGTTAGCGTTATGTTGTAGTATATGCGTTTTTTTACGGTACATGAATGGGCCAAATCTATACTATCTATAGAAGTAGGAATAGATGTGGTTGGCTTCTGGAATTTTCACTATACTAAAATGCCTCATCTATAAGGTTTGAATTAGAAAATGAGCAATGGTAAATATGTAATTTTATTCTCATTTAATGCTTATGAGGAAATGACTCTTCTTTCCCAATTAAAGTTTATTACAAAAAAGACACAAAACTCCAATATTTTTTTGTTCATAAATGGAAAACAAGATAATGGCAAAATTGTTATTTAACATTCACATTTAATGCTTGTTAGGGAAAATACATAAAAATTCCTCTTTTTGTTCAATAATTGGAGAACAAACCATGGTAATTGCTCAAACATCCCTTGAAGTTTTTGACCTTTGCCCAAACCTCCCCTAAACTTCTTGACATAGTTGCAAATAGATCCCCTTTGTAAAATCCTCTAACAAGAGACATGAAAATGTCCAAAATACCCATGTAATTATTATTGAGGCTGGTTTATACATAAAAAACAATATAAAGGTTATGAACAACAAAAAAAGTGAGTTCAAAATTGTAATTTTACCTTTTAGCAATTGATATAAAGGGCAAATTTGGAAAAAATACATCATTTTCGTAAAAGAGATTAGAAGGGATTAGGGTAGTGATTGATACGAAGAAAAATGTTGAAAAATAAACATTTTGGTCAAAAGTAACTACATGGGTATTTTGGATATTTTTGTGCTTTTTGTTAGAAGATTCTAATAGAGGGTCTACTTTCAACTGTCTCAAAAAGTTCATGGGAGGTGATTGCATTTACCAAACTTTAGGGGGTCAGTAATGATTAAAAATTTTATAGGAGGTTTTAGCAATTTACCCTTTTATTTATTTAAATTAAAAAAACTGAAAGTACATCTTATATTTTCAATAGCCAATTTTAGACCCATTAGCCACCATAAAGAGATTTCCAACTTGCAAATAGATGAACAATTTATTCTTTAAACTATTTTCTTGTTGTTAAAAATATTTTTAACCTATTTTCATTGGTTTAGCTCTTGATCATTAAGGTAGCAGATAATTTTTTATTATTTTCACCATATGATGGGTTATTTTTTCATTTCTGTTACCTTAAAGCCCACACCACTTGATCGCAAGGTATCTGCAAGAGTAAGTGATATTTTTTATAGCAATTCATTGTAAGGATTTAAGCGATTAAAGGAGCCGAAGTTGGATTTATCATATATAAGTTAATTATTGTAAATAACGAGAATTCAAATAAAATTTTGACGAAAGTAACTGATAAAAATTATTAATTTTATTAATAAACCATAATAAATAATAATAAGAAGAATTTTATTACACTCCAAGAAAAATAGTCTAAGGCGGCGGTTTAGAGTTGACGCTCTTTAAGACCGCTGCCTTAGAGAGAACTAAGGTGGCGTTCCCAAAAAGACCGCCGCTTACAAAATTAAATTAAAGAAAAATAAATACTGGGTGGCGGTCTTTGGCACCTGGCCCGACACTTTAATGCTTGAACCTGTCTGAAACTCCTTATTCTACCCAATAAAATACAAACCCAAAATGCCAAAACCTTTGCATTCCCGCGTCTGTGTTTGAGAGTAGTGCGATGGAGAACCTGTTGAAGAGGATGGAGAGTGTGATGTAGTTCCGGGCTGCACAATTCGATATGGTGAAGACAGGTTGAAGGCTGAGGGCGATGTCATTTCTACAAACATGGTCTTCTTGAAAGCTGGCACGCCTACTCCAAGAGCAACTGGAAATTCTAGATCAGGAGCTCATGTTGAAGTCCAAAAACTCACCTGCACAAATGGGATGATTTTCAGATTTTTATTTCTACGTTTCTTTATTCCCATTCTCATAAGCATTTCACAGGGGAGGATTTGGGAGAACTACGACATTGATCTCTTGAAGCTATTTGCTGCATTTCCAATGAAATTCCTGGGAAATAATTTGGTTGTTATTTTCGCCAGTAGAACCAATTGATCCCTTCAGGCAAGGAGGCATTCAGGTACATCTTTGATGTCTCTAAAGTTCAGTTAGTGTGATGAGGAATGTTTATTCTTTAGCATGTGAAGTCCTTTTGCAGATTTTGGTATACAAAGGAAAAAGGTTTATTCTTTCTCTTGTATTGTAGGTGCTTCTGAAACTGGTTCTACTTTTCTTCTCTTTGGTTCTTCGCATGTTTTTCTTTTGCAGGTTATCGGTGTTGTTTTCTGGTGTGTGGATCAATAGCTGATTTAGGTTTGAGTGTCATGCATAGTCTAGGATGCACCAACTGTGATATCTGATTTGTTCTGTATATCCACCGTATTTGTTTCTTAATCTGATTCTATATTACCAACTTTTTTATGGATTATGCTGCTTTGGCAGCATTCTTTACTTGGCTTGAAATTGGCATCAAATTTCGGCTTTCTCACCACAAGATAGACAACTTTCCACCATGATTTTGCTTTGTCTTGAAATTGGCATCAACAATAGCTTCTATCACTGAAACAGCCCCTAACAAATCAAGTGAAGCAGCATTCCCATCGCAATCCCACTTCTCTGAGGTGACTAGGTATTTGTGGCTAGGGAAGCTTTGTTCTTGTTTTCTAAGTTCCAATTTTTTCTTTATTTTCTCAAATCTCTCAGATTTCTGGTTCTTATAGTATAATTTAATGCAATCTGTCGTTTTCTTATGATTAAGGAAAGAGGAAATTTTTTTGAAGTCCTTCCCAAATGTTGCAAGCATTTCCATGAAAATTTCCTTTCCTTTAGAGATGTCCACGGGTCGATCATTGCCCACTCCTTCTCAACAGCACATGGATCTTCAATTAATCCATTACTTGTAACAAACCTAGAGAGCCTTTTCTCCTTCTCATCCAAAAGTAAAGCTGGCATTCTCAAACTATTGTTGCAAACCTTAAATTGGGAATCTGATAGCAGCTTGCCAGCAAAATCAATTATCTTTGTGGTAGGATTAGGAACCAGGGTCAAGTTACCTGCTGTAGCAGAGGAACATATAAAATAACCACAGCCCATTGAATCAACCCACCTTTAATTGTAGCATAAAATTCATTAGAAGCTCCTCTATTTTTTTATGTCTCATTAACTTCCTAATATATTATGATTTCCAGATTTTAGAGAGTGGAGAACAGATAGGATTAAAATATTTGAGGCCAATAAACCCTTGGGATTTGGTGACATTGGCAGGTTTGCGTTTGTATTTTCCTCAATTATTTGATTTAGTTTTGAACCTTCCAAGAAACCTTTGTGTTGCTTTTATTAAATCTTGTTGGGATATGGAGGAGAGTAGAGTTGTTAGGACTTGGGATGTGAGAGAGAGTAGACTAGGTAAGACAGGATGGTAGCAAATGATAAAGACTCAAGTTGTTGGGAAAATCGGAACTTGTATTGGGTTATTCTCAAATGTACAAGCTTAGCCCTATTTATAGTAGAGCCAAGTAGGTGGAGCAAAGCCAACCAACATTCTAGACATCTCTCCCTAGAATTTTACCTTTTCTAGAAATCATCATCTTCTAGACCCAAATACATTCTAGAAGTTAGAACTTTTAGAAAGTGTATTACTTTTTCTAGAGGCTTATAGATTTAATTTCTAGAGTGCTAATTAATTCTAGAAGTTTGAACTTCTAGAAAACTTTTGGAAAGTGGATTATTTTTTAACACTCCTCCTTAA